GGGACCGGACGAACAGGTGAGTAGATGGGCTGATGGCAGAAACCAGGAGAGCAGGAGGATGAGGACGGACAGGTGAAAAACAATAGCAGCGAAAACAAAGAAATCCACAGCACAGGAACTGTCAGCATGGAAATCAAAAATACGTAGAACACTTCACTTACTATCATGCAAGTCCGTGTCTCACATAGTGTATAGTGCTAATGCAAGTAATGCTCCGGCAGCGATGGAGCGTCTGCCAGAGGTTTAAATAAGAAAAGAAAACAATCCATCGGAATGCACCTCAGCTGTGCGCACTGACCCACGAGTCACTAATTACCCGATGCGACACAGCTGAGGCGTCGATCCCACAAAAAGAGAGGGCAGGAGAGAGAAAAGAGGCAGGTCGCGCCGAGTGGACCTGACAGAACCTAAATGTTAAACAACAAACAAATCCCAGCCTGTTCAGTGTATCATACTCCCAACAAGCATAAAAAAATTAGATGCACTATCAAAAAGGCCATGACAGTTTAGTGCCATGAAAACTTTGGAGTTTTTTTTTTGTCTGGCAGTTTTTAAAACTTTAACTCTGGGTTCTTTTCCTTGTTGGTAGTGCATCCTACCACACAGCACCTTTTTGACATTTGTATGATCTTGTCATGATCCCCGTTTCCTCTTCCGGTAACCAGCTCTTATTTTGTCTTGACACTTCCTGTTTCACCCTACTCTCACTCCAGGTCACTTAACTTTGTCATAGCAAATATCTTCACCTGTGCAAATTGAACACACCTGTTATAAGCAGCTCCATCCCTCAAAAGAGCCTCCAGATTGTCCTAACTTCATGCTTGACAGTCCAGCCAGCTTGGATTGATGGTATCTTTGTGAAACCTGAAGCAGACCTTTTGGATTTTGTGTATCTAGTTTTCCCCTGCCTTGCACCCTCAAAGACTGGGAGTAGTATCAGTGTGGTTTGCTTTTTGACTTCTGAAGACGCCGCTGCCCTGCCTTTTGTAGAGACCGTGAGATGTGTTATTTTTCTGCCTCTCTGGATTGTTGGAGTCACTCTGCCTCTGAACTGAGATTCCTGTCTGTGGATGAATAAGTGTGTTTCCTACCTCATGGATTCTGTCTTATTAAGTGCACTGCGTCTTGTCTCTGAAGCAGGAGTGCCTCCACATACACCCAAGTGATGCCGGAAATTTGCTGGAAATTTTGAGAAGGTTACAAAATCAACATTAATTATAAAGTTAAAAAACAATAATTTTTAATAAAAATGTAGAACTAAAAAACCACAAATGTAATTAATTTTTCCGAATAAGCACATTTTGGTTCTGTATCGGAGACCAATTCCTCCTGTGTGTAACATCCTTGGCCAGTAAAAGTGATTATAAAAATGAGTGGAAGAGTGTTACAGTACATAATAGATCAAACCTCTGCATCCGTGTCCTTTGCTGAACTCTTCTGGCAACTTGTGTGCTGCAGGTTAAAACTGACACTAAACAAACCTGATATATAATTTGTGACTCACATCAGATAGATGAACAGCTTGTTTTGTTGCATCCATGAGAGAGGTATGAATCACCCACCTGATCTCATTTGTGATTCAGGGAATGATGATCCGGCCTCTGGTGGAGCTCCTTGCAGTGAAGAAGAAGGAGGAGAGCAAACGGTCGATTAACGAGGAGATTTAAACACAGGTGCCATCAGTAATAATTAGTTTCACAATTTTACTAAATTTTTTTATGGCAGACAATGACAATGTTCTCCCCAGTCCACATGTTGAACTATCCTTGGGCAAGACGCTAAACCCCAAGTTGCTCCTGATGGCCAGAGCAGTGCCCTGCAGGGGCAGTGCTGTCCCTGCAGGGCACTGCCATCGGTGTGTGTGTGGGTGTGTGTGTTTTATTCACAGATGAGTCGCTACCTCACCATCCCTGCAAGCTGCCAGGAAACATCATCTGCCAGAAAAGTGTGCTTTGACCAATGCAGATTATTTTCCATTATATAAAAGCTTCACAAGAAAAATACATTTTCTCTGTAAAACACTGTTTTGACAGCATATTTCTGAAATAAGTAGTGATATTGGGAATCAGCTTAACCCTCATGTGGCCTTAGGTGACTAGTGGTAACATTTGTGTTTTATTTCTCAAGCCATTTTGGCTGTGTTGAATGAATGTAGCTCAAATTTGCTACAGGTTATTTATTTTTTAAATACTTAAAAACTGAGGTCTCACTTCCTTATATTTGCCTAAAATGGCTGAAATAAAAAAGTAGTCACATGTTCCTAGGTTACTGTTACTCACCATTGAAAACCATTAAAAATGCTTTTTTTGATGCCAAATCTCTCATATCATATCGTATTTCAATGCTCTGAAGCAATATATCGTTTAAAACTAGAGGGTCTCAAAATGGAATTTCAATAGTTGACCAGCAGACGGGGACACGAGACCATTTTGAAACCGTGCATGCAAATTCATCCAAATGTCACTATTTTTGCAATTTTTGCAAGGGTGACTTGCAGAAAGACTGAAAATGATAAAGTGTGCATCACTATTGTGTGTTATATCAATATGATGTGTGTGTCTGTTTGCATTTATGTAACTGTGCCTAAGCAGTTCTAGCTGCGTAAAACCAACCACGTGGGTGTGTCTGTGTCCAACTCATAGGTTTTTTTTGTCTTAGAAAGTCATATTCTGTGTTTTATAATTCAAGATCTGAATCGAAACTAACCGCATTCGTGCATGGCTGACTCCTCTCAGTTCATGTCTCCTCTCGTCTTCCGCTCGGATTTTCTCATGCGCACTCCATGAGTTGTTTTTGTGTGTTTGTGTTCCTCCGTGCCTGCATGCATGTTTGCGGCAGTTCGTCCGTGCATGCATGTGTGCGTGTTCGACTTCATAAGGCCTTTCTCTTACTGCAATTTTATTGCAAGGTTGCAATCTATTTTATAAACAATTCAAGATGAGAAGCAAGAACCCAAACAAAATTGGACTTTGGGTTCTCATTCAGGATGAGTATGCAGGTGCACTACAGCCACAGGTATAAGTATAAGCAGTAGTGCGGAGTATTAATTGGCGAAATTGCAAGACGATTTACCACGCAAGAAATTTTGGATGCAGTTATGTAGAGAGAGAACCAGGAGTCCTCGTCCTCCGCCGAGGACTCTGAGCCGTCTTCAGACTCCGAGGGTGAATCGGATGAGCTGGCTCCCTCTGACAGCTCTGAAGATAACAGCGGGAGCGAGGCTGATGCAACAGATGCGGCATGGACATCTCGAGATGGAACGCTGTTGTGGTCTCCCACAAATGATCAGACGCTGAGGTATGTTCCAGCAGGCACAGGTTTGGTCCCGGGACCTACCCACTACGCTACAGCCAGAATCCGTTACCCCATGTCCAGTTTTGCGCTGCTGGTGACCGAGGACATGACGAACCTGCATGGCAGAGGCACGACGGGGAGCTGGATTGTTAAGACCAAGTGTTACAAGTATAAACCGTGTTTAGCTTGTGTGACAGAGCGGCTCTGTCACTGACTGTGTCCACATATCTCTCTGCTGCATCGGCAGCACACACACACAC